GGAACCAATTCTCCGGCAAAGGAGAGATTCAGACTCAATAATGGTGGTCTGAATTTCTTTCCCATGGTTTCTAAATTCCACTCCACTCTCTCCTGGAGGAGAGATTCAATTATAACTAGTGATAAGCGAATTTCTCAACGAGGAAGCCTAAATGATTTTTTCTACCTCTTCAGGGAGAGACAGGTAACTGCAGTATCTAAGAGTGCTTGGGGAGAGGCATAACTTGAGGTCTCTCGTTCGTGGAACGACAACTTCACATGATCGTGATGTGAAAGAAATAATGAAAAAATTTAATCTTACTCCAGCAAGCAAACAAAAAACCCCTACACGTGGATTCAACCAATTGGATTACATTTTTGTCAGCGACAATTTCGGAGTGAAAGATTTTGAAACAGAACCAAAGAGTTGGAGCGATCATATGGAACTCATCGCTGAATTAAAATGCCTCGCGAGAAGTTTTACAAAGACTAAACCCCCATTCCCTAGGGTGGAAAAAACTACTTATGACAAATTGATTGAAAATGCATTTGTAAACCTTATTCCGAAAGATGTACTTCATTAATTGATTTTATTAATCGAGAAATGTTGAAGAAACTTAACATGTATATGAGAATCAAACAATAAATTAGTTATCAAATGTCCAATTTTCCACTTTCATGCCACACATCTTTTACACGAGAAAATCAGAGCTCAATTAGATCCATTAGTTATCAAAGCCGATAACAAAGCTGTATCTGAGACTCTTGGAATTGTCATCATTCCGCTTCACAATTTATCGAAATTAGTTTGTACTTCACTGTTGATCGAATAATGAAAAAATGGTCAAGTTGATTGGTTGTGTTCACTGTAATTTTTCTAATTATTCTAATGACATTAGTAAATTTCAAATGAAATAAAGGATTAATAATGCGTCTTAATACAGTTATAATATTAAACTAAAATATAAAGCCAAGGTTTTGTCCGAACTCAAATCAAATTTAGGTACACTTTTAGTCTATCTATAGTAAATTATTTTCAGGGTAATATTTCTGAAGGTATATGAGTTAGATATATGACAAGTGCTGATATAACAAAGGTTAACAATTGATTGTCCAATTTTTTTTGGGTTTTAACCAAAAAATCAGAGCTGAATCAGAGCTGATTTTAGTCTTCGCTTTGCTCAGCGCAAGTGCTACAAAAATAAATCTAATCTTTTGACGGTTGGAACCAAACCATACTGTAAGAACTGGAACCATACGATTTCTCTAATCGAAGGTTCACAATGAAATCGCTTTCAAAATTCGAACTTAACTTCATTTTATTTAATTTTTCACATTGACGATGGATTTCATCAGTAATTTGAGTCTTTTAATATGTTTTTAATTTATTGTAGAAGGCAGATAGAAATTTACGATCATCTTCAACTTGTTAATTCAACTTAAAAGGTGCTACAAACTCTCAATGTGTATTTCTTGCTGTCAAGATAATATAAAGTCATGCTGCGAGGAATAACTAATTAAACTACTTTTGTTCATTCAAAGGCCAAAATAAATTGAATGAAATGCAGCTTCATTAATTATGTTTCAACTTGACTGCAAACCCAATTGTCAGTTTGATCCATTGTTACTTTGAGTTAGCCATTTATGTTATTAGAAATAGATTGTACATGTAGCTAATTAGAAATGCTTGATCTAATAACTCAAGAATATTTCCTTTTCTAATATAAAAATTATCTAATAATTATAAATTATTATTATTATAAATGATTTATTTCTTTTTATCTATCATTATTTACTAGATGATACATGTTATCAAGATAATGGGGAAAATTATCGAGGAACTACATCACGAACAGTAACTGGAGTTGATTGTGCTCCTTGGCATCAACAAGTTTTTTATAAGACTGCTGATTATCCTGAGCTTATTGGTGGACATAATTATTGTCGAAATCCTGGTGGAATGGAATCTCAACCTTGGTGTTTTATTCGTGAGCCAGAGATGAAAAAAGTTTATTGTGATGTACCAAGATGTGGTAAGTACATTCAAGGAGTGATTGTTTGTTTCATTATGCACCATTAGCTTCATTTGGATTATTTACTGAAGATTGGTTGAATCCGATTTCAATATTGTATCTTGTTCCTATCATAACATATTCATTATTAATTTCATAAAAACTTGAATTTCATTTATAACACTATGCTAACAACATTGCTCTAATATTTATCCATTTTTTGATTTTATTTACAGTTGACAATTTTTGGGTTTACATTGTTGTTCCAAGTCTTGGTGCCCTAGTCCTGTTTATACTTTTATTAGCTTTATGTTGCCTTCGACGTAAACCTCGATCTAAATCTTCTGGTCCTCAATTTAATTCTGGACGTCAAAGTGAATCTTCAATATCAAATTTACAATCAAGTCGAAATGGTGTTGGTGGAAGTGGATCAGTTGAAATGAACTCATTATTACCTAAAAAGCAATCACATGCAACAGAATATCCATTATCTTGTTTAAAATTTATTGAAGTTTTAGGTGAAGGAGCTTTTGGTAAAGTGTATCGAGGTGAATTGATTATGTCACTTAATGATACTGTACCTATTGCCATAAAAACATTGAAAGAAGATGCTAATATGAAAACTCGACAAGATTTTCAACGTGAAGCTGATTTAATGGCAGATTTAATTCATCCAAATATTGTTTGTCTTCTTGGTGTTTGTTTTAAAGAGGAACCAATGTGTATGATGTTTGAATTTATGTCAGAAGGTGATCTTCATGAATATTTGATAACTCATTCTCCAGGTAGTGAAATGGTTAATAAAGATGGAACAAGGTATTTTATTGATTTTTTATTCAATTTTTTTCTTTAAGTAAAAATATTAATTATACTTTCTCTTTCTCCTTTTTTTGTCTATTTAGACCTCGAGTTTTAGATATAAATGATTTTCTTCATATTTCAACTCAAATTGGTGCTGGTATGGAGTATCTTGGAAGTCATCATTATGTTCATCGAGATTTAGCAGCTCGAAATTGTCTTGTTTCTGACCATTTAACTGTAAAAATATCTGATTTTGGTTTATCTCGTGATATTTATGCATCGGATTATTATCGTGTTCATTCAAAATCTTTATTACCAGTTCGTTGGATGCCACCTGAATCAATTTTATATGGTAAATTTACAACTGAATCAGATGTATGGTCATTTGGTGTTTTACTTTGGGAAATATTCTCATATGGATTACAACCTTATTATGGTTATACAAATCAACAAGTAATTGATATGATAAGAGGTCGTCATTTATTACCCTGTCCATCTGAATGTCCACCAAACATTTATTCTCTAATGAATCAATGTTGGACTGAAAATCCAGCACAAAGACCTTCTTTTAGTCAACTTCACCAAAGATTGAGAAATTGGAAAGCAGTTTACAGTAACACCATTGCATCAACTACATTACCTTCAGCTAGTAGTCATTCATCTAGTCATTCTGGTATTAATTTAATGGGCTCAACTCTACCTCATCATCATAATCATAATCATCAACATCAACAGCATCATCAACAACCGCAACTTCACAATCAACATAAAGTTTCATTAACTTTAGGATCTCGTTCAACATCAGGAGGAATCGGAGGAGATGGAAGAGAAGGAAGAACTGTTGCTAATAATAATCAAAATCTTCACCATCATCTGATTCAATCACCAACATCGTCATCATCGCCGCATTCATCATCTTCATTATCTCAACATTACGGATTAACAACAAATGTACGACAAAATAAAGATGCTGGGTCACCTTTACTTACACAACAAAAATTTCCAGTTATGAATCATCAAACAATTCAACAACATTTTAATGGACATCAAAATCAAACACCTTACATATTAAATCAGCATCATTTTATAACAACTAATCATGGATCAAATTCACCATCAAATTTAAGTAATCGAAGTATTCCAACAATGACAGGCCATACATTCAAAGGTCATCACAATAGTGCATTTAATTAGCAGAAATTTAATTTTATAAATTGGTTCAAGCAAAGATTATCAAAACCATTCGAGGTTTATCATCCAATGACGAACCTTCATCTTTTTTTAAATAAACTTGAATTTCTCAAAAAACCCTTTCATGTTACTCTGAAAGAAACTTTCTACTCACAACTTGTCAGTGTAACAACTTTTCATCTTTTGGGATTTCAATTTAAATTACTTCAATTTGTCCGAAGATATTTCTCTAGCTCGTAAATCATAACTCGATAAACGTTATTTTCGAAGACAACGGGATAAAAGTTGATTTTCAACAATTAATTACAACTGACGTCCACACTAATTTCCAGTAGCTCAATTTATACAATTATAAATTTTTTACTCAATAGCATTGATTCAGAATTGATTGCCTTACATTTAATGTGAAGTAATTCAAAATAATTGAAGTAAACTTGTTTTCAAAAATATACATTTGAAGGGAAAACACTTATTTTGATTGCACCCTTTAATGATATTGTTTACTAACCGAATTTTAATTCTTAACAATTCTTGACCGATTTCAATACATTGTAATATCTCGTGGATAATTAACATAATTGTTATGATAATTTCAACTACATTGCATCTAACTCGTATAATACTGGACAGCAATGCTAAAAAGTATTTTCTAGTCAAGTGAGCAATTAAAGGCAGAAAGATGATTCAAAATAGCAAATGATCAGGGTAAATCATGTACATACGTGACAATCTTGCTCAAACCGAGTGCTAGTTTGTATCTTTGTTTTTAGTACTTTCAATTCAACCATAATAACGCAACAAAAGCAAATATTAGGAACTTGAACAATATGTTAACCCAAAATGTCACCCATTCTACATCAAATGATACTTCTAATTTACCCTTAATTGTATCAGTGACCAACTCATGGGATCATTTCCTTAAACCAATCTATTCAACAGTTAACTTTAACAATTTGATAACTTCACTGGTTGTTACTTTGACCGGTTATTTATTGATCAAATTGATTCCCTTCATTCGCATGTTAATCGCTTTGAAAAAGCTGCCTCAAAAACCTGGTAATTGGTTAATGGGACATTTAGGTGATTTACTTCCACCTCCATTCATCTCAAATAATCAATTTGGACAAGGTAAATAAAGAACAATTTTGTATACTTAAAACCATTTAGATCAATTTGAAACTCATTCACATGTACTAACACAATCTCACACTAACTTCAATCATTTAATTTGTAATTTTGTTATATTTGAAGGTCTGAAAAATTGTGTCGATAAAATGGAAAAGTTTCTTCATGAAAATGGTTTGATGGTCTTTTGGGTTTCCTGGTATCCTATTGTTGTAATTACAAGCCCCAGTATTTTATTCGTAAGTAATAATAACAATCTTTACATTGGTTAGTTGAACGAAGACTTCTGCTCCACTTTTTTGAAATAATTCTTCGGGAGTTCAATCAAAACATTCAATTAATTAAACTATATTATTTTGTTTTAGCAACTGACGCCGGCCACAATAGAGAAGGGACCTGGTCCTGATGTAGCCAGAAGTTTTTTCGGTGATGGTTTGGTCACTCAAAATTCAACCAAATGGAAAGGTCGGCGTAAGCTATTAGCTCCAGGATATCAACAAGCTGCATTGGCTAACTATCTTCCAATTGTATCTGAAATCGCCCGTAATCGAGTTAATACATTAGGAAACACGCACATAATTGATGAGCCAGTAGACACAAGAAAGTTCACTCAAGAAACGGGAATGGATATGACATGTGAAATCGCATTAGGAGTTAAAGGTGGCAAAGAAGGTTCACCTGGTTGGCAATATCGAAAAGCTATTGACGTTGCTCTTGAAATGCTGCTCATCAAGTCAATCAATCCATTTTACTGGTTCGATTTTATATTTCGTTTTACCATCGACGGTAGAAGGTCAAAACAAGCAGCTGAATACATTCGATCGTTTCCTACTTCATTGATAAATGTCAAGAAAACAACTCATGTACCAGGAAGCATCAACCCAAAAGCCTATAACCCAGCAGTTCGATTCAGTTTACTTGATTGTCTGATTGATTTACATTTACAAAGCCAATGTGATAATAAAAAATTTGGGTTCACAACTCTAGATGTTCTCGAAGAAGTAAATAACGCTCTGTTTGCAGGTAATGAGACTACTGGTGGCACCATGGCATGGACTATGTTTCATCTTGCCGCTAATCCTGATATTCAGGATAAAGTTTATCAAGAATTAGTTGAGAATCGTTTCACTGCTAAAGAGTTTATTGATTATAATGAAGAAAATTTAAAGTCTCTTAAATATTTAGATTGTTGCGTTAAAGAAAGTCTTCGACTTTGTCCACCGATTCATACAATTACTAGAAGATTGGATCAAGATCTGATCACAGACGATGGTCAAGTTATTCCGAAAGGAAGTGTTCTCGCCTTGTGTATCTATTACATTCATCGAGATCCAAAATATTGGCCAGAACCAACCAAATATAATCCTGAAAGATTTTTAACTGAAAATAGTTTTGACAGACCATCGCTGGCTTACATTCCGTTTGGCTTTGGACAAAGACAGTGTTTAGGACAGAAACTAGCGATGAGAGAGATTAAAGTTGTTATTGCAGAAGTAATTAGAAGATTTAGACTCGAAAACTGTCAATCGTTCGATGAAATTGAAACAGCTTTTCTTGGTACATATCGGTCAATTGAAAGTCTTAAAATCAAATTCTTTCCAAGAAATGTGAATCAAAAAGAAAGCTTAAAGATGAAGATAGAATCTAATCATACATGACTGACTCATGAATATTTATCTAAACTAAAGTTATATACTGTTCAAAGTCTCTATGTCATCAAGCTCATCCTAATCATCATTGTCAAAACTCGAAGATTGCGAAGAGAAAAAGGTGCTCAATTTCATTGAAAAAATCTATCAATTAGAGAAAAATCAAGATTTAAAATTAGAGAAGCTTCTCATATCTTTCAACCCTTCGAAAGAATCGAGTACTGATAACTGTTCTTAGTGTGATTTATAGCATTTTGAAAAGTCGTTTTCATCGAAATGCCAAAAATTAAATGGTCATGATAATAAATGGAAAAGAAATATTATTTGTTAATTCTGCAAAGTAAAAATCGTAAGGAGTAACCAATGGCTCTATGGAAAACTCAACTCACTTTCGTCAGAAAAATTCAATTCAAGATAAATGTAGTCCATTCTTGGCTCATATTTTTTTAAATAAAAAATTTTTCTTAAATTTTGTGTCTATTATTTATTTTATAAAGCATAATTGATTGATAATAATAGCAGTAAAATAATTTTCATTATATTGATATACAGTATTAATGGTTTAAATCCGGACAGTTAACATTGGTCTTAAGCGGAAAATATAATAAAGATATTGAAATTCTTAATAATTGATAAACTTGTGATCATTCATGTAGATATAATAAATTCAGTATTGATGAGCCACAGTAAGCTTCAACAATTTGTAGCTCTAAGTTTATTTGAACTGCTAAACCAATTAAATGATTTACTGGTAGAAGTATCAAGGTTCATTATTGTTATAACAGATCAAATTATCAAACATTACAGTAGCAAAAATAAAGTCTACAGCATAGAGATAAAGTTATCATTCAATGGAATACATTAACTGATTGATGATAATGAAACAATCAGATCATGTAGATGCTTCATTGGGTGACTAAATTTATGTATGTAGGTATTAGGTATAATACAGGTTCAACCGGTGAATCTAACCATTTGTATTTTCTTAATTTGAATAAAATTGTTTACAATTTAAAGGCAACTTGATCGACTACTAATGAATGAGAAACAGAAAATTTAATGTTATTTTCGTTTAAAGTCAATTGACGTATACGGTTTGCAATTGCTGTTCATCCAAATAACTTGATCTTATATTACATGGGATAACACTTGTTGATGGAAAGTGTTTCAATGTCAATAAAATTTTCAATTTTCCCTTTCAATTGCAACACTTGAAATATAAATAGTCGTCCACTTTAATGTCTTTTTTCAACATTTCTTGTTCGTAAACCAGAAAAATTTCAGGTACACTCATCCTGGTTAACTGATGTTCATTAACCGCTTTGAAATTTTCAATGTTGATTTTACATTTGAGTTTCATGATTAAGTGATATCACTAGATAGCTTCATTAAGCATAGATTTTTATTGCAACGAAAGTCCCTAACTGATTATATAACATATTCGGAAAAATTATGAGACATTTTGTAAGCTCATATCTTTTTTAACATTCAAATGATTATTTGCCTACAACACCGTTAGATTGTTTCATTGATGCTCTTTAATTGGTATGTAAAAATATACCGAATAGGTCATTATATTGTCATTTGTTTATATCAAAGGAGAATCCCATTTCGGGTTAAAAGGTGAGAAAATGGAATCATTTTCATCTCAAAGTCACAAACTTTCCATGAAAATGAATTTTTATATAACTTTTTCGAAAGACGATTGAAGCCAATAGCGATCATTTCATAGACTGGATAATTTAATTTAAGAATTACATATTTTCGAATGCAATTTTCTGGTAAAATCTTCTGGTTTACCCAACAACATCCATTGAAAATCCGTGACCAGAAACAATATAATGACCAGGAAATCAAAATAGCCGATGGGGAAATTTACATGAGAAAAGTTAGGCAACATGAACAGATACAAATGAAAATTGTATGTAACATTGAAGCAAACATTTCTTGAATTAAAGTTGACTTACTTCTTGAAGTACATTGTCAACAATTTATTATAAGAGGACAATTTAATTGTGATAGAACCGTCATTGTCTTAATTTGTAGTCTTAATGGCTCGACCATTGTTTCAATCAGTATTTAGTTACAATTTTAGAGGCTATTTTTAGTACATTTTATGGGAAGTTTTTACTAAGAATTTCCTTGTTCAAGGTCTGATTATTCATTTTGATTGATTTAATTCAATTAGCTTGTTTTCATTCTCGTTTTTCAATCAGAAATGAATGAAAACAAGTTAAAGATCGAGTTTGTATTGGTTGACCAATAGTTTTGAAAGAAATGAAATGTCGGTTCAACTTAACGGAACAATCGATTTTAATTTTAAATTTTCAACAAAATCAAATATTTGATTGTTTCATAATAATTTCATGTGATAATATGGGAATTGAAGAGGCGTTGAAACCAGCGAAATGATTATTACCTGTTTTATATGGATAAACCTTGTCTTACAATTTAAAACAATTAGATAACTAATTTCAACTGAATTACTCTTTGATCTCATCAAATTATTTATTGCTTTATTTTCATTTGCATGTGGGATGTATTTTTATTCAACTGTGAACCGTTAATTGATTGGTGTAAATATTGCATGACAATCAATTGGATTCAACAAATCCAGCCTAAATCAACTTAATAGTCAAAATGAATGAAACTTTAACCAATATGTTAACCCAAAATGTCACCCATTCTACATCAAATGATACTTCTAATTTACCCTTAATTGTATCAGTGACCAACTCATGGGAACATTTTCTTAAACCAATCTACTCAACAGTTAACTTTAACAATTTGATAACTTCACTAGTTGTTACTTTGATCGGTTATTTATTGATCAAATTGATTCCCTTCATTCGTATGTTAATCGTCTTGAAAAGACTACCTCAAAAACCTGGTAATTGGTTAATGGGACATTTAGGTGATTTACTTCCACCTCCATTTACTTCTAACAATCAATTTGGACAAGGTAAATACAATTCAATACAATTGCCTTCTATTATATTCCAATTTATGAAAATTTATTAGCTACTTCTTTACAATAAAAAGTCGAAGTAAAATGATTAAAAACTAAGAACTACTGACAAAACTTTTAAATACAAGACAAGATTAAAAGTTTGGGTGTCTGTAGAAGTCATTCAGTGCTGATAGCAAATCTCTGTCATCAACAGTTTTCGAGAAAATTGAGGTCAAAGTTTGAACTTCGATCGTCTTTTATTCGATTATGGAAATAGATTTTTCAGTGAAACTCATTTTCTCGATGTGAATTTTGATAGGCAACCAGAAAATGAACTTCATTTGAACAAAAAAATTTTCTGTTCGAAATAAAAGAGTTTAGTTTGATTTTCCGTTAAACTGGCCACAATCTGTAACTGGTTGAGTTAGAGTGTTGAAACTTATTATTCGCCAGTAAACATTTGTTCTAAACATCAGAGCTTACAAAACTTTTTCAAATCAGCAATAGTTCTCTTTATTTTGGCCTTTCGTTTAAATTCTTTGAGCCTCGATATTTCGTCAATGGTGGCATTCACAATCCACATTTCATGACTAAACAGCAGATTTTATAATGGGCTATAACATGATTCAACTAAATACCAAAGAAAATTTGAACTGATTAATTAAACAATGAATCTTCTTCAATAACATCATAAGATTTGCGCTTTAATAGCATTTTACCTTTATTTGTTACCCAAATAGCTCAAGCTACCCAAATTGATACTCAAACAAAAATTTCATGATTTGTTTGAAGAACATTCGTTATTTAATTGAATAACTCGGTTTTCCATGCATGTTCTATCATATTATATGATAGCCCATAATACAATCTTATGTTTAGTCATAAAATGATGCTTGTGGTTGCTGTGATTATCGAAATATCGAGGCTCGAAGATTTGAAACAAATGGCCAAAATCAAGCGAACTATTGATGCCCTGTAAAACTTTTGTGAGCTCTGATGTTCAGGACAAATATTTAACGACAAATAATAAGTTTCAACACTATAACTCAACCAGTTACAGATTGCGGCCAGTTTGACGGAAAATCAAACTAATCTGTTTTATTTCGAACAGAAAATTTTATTGCTCAAATCAAGTGTACATTCTGGTTGTCTATCAAAATTGACATATGGATAATGAGTATCGCAACAAAATCTGTTTGCATAATTGAATGAAAGACGATCGAAGTTTAAACTTCTACCTCGATTTTCTCGAAAACTATTGATGACAGAAATTTTTTATTAGCACCAAATGACTGCTAGAGACCAGCAAATTTCAAATCTTGACTTCTAAATCGTAGCTTATGCCCATAGTCCTTTATGAAGAAGTTTTTGTTTCCTAGTTTCATCGATTGGCAACTTACTTCAAACTTTGATTTAACTCTCAATTCCAACTATGCATTCATATAATAATGTTTTAAATCTGTATTTGACTGAAGGGTTGAAAAGCTGTGTCGATAAAATGGAAAGGTTTCTTCATGGAAATGGTTTGATGGTCTTTTGGGTCTCCTGGTTTCCTATTGTCATTATAACAGATCACAGTATTTTGCTGGTAAGTTTATTTCATATGCACTGCTAATGGCTAATCAATCGTTAAGCATGTTAAGCATTAGTATAAAGTACATGTTAGCTAGGAGACTTGCTATAGCTAGGCAATCGTTGATTGCGTTGAGCACACAATCAATTTAATTTTTTGACTAAATAAAATAAAAACATTCGTTTAAAATGCCGTGTTAGATATCGAACTGCCGGTCTTTGCAATGATCAGTGAAGGGAATTTTACTATGCTTTGAAAAACATTGCAACAGAATGCACAATTCGCCTTAAAACGATCCAACAATAAATATGTTATCATTCAGGTTAGCTCGAGCACATCCATCGACATGCAGATTAACATCATGTTTGATAGGTTTATTTTATTAATATTTAATGTTTGTTCTTGCTTAGAAACTGGCACCGGCAACAATAGAGAAGGGACCTGGTCCTGATGTAGCTCGAAGCTTTTTTGGTGATGGCTTAGTTATACAAAATTCAACCAAATGGAAAGGTCGACGAAAGCTGCTAGCTCCAGGTTATCATCATGCTGCACTGGCTAACTATCTTCCAACTATATCCAAAGTCGCTCATAATCGAGTAAATATTTTAGTGAACAAGAATATAATTGATGAACCAGTTGACACAAGAAAGTTCACTCAAGAAACGGGAATGGATATGACATGTGAAATTACATTGGGAATAGAGAGTGGAACTAAGGGTTCGCCTGGTTGGTCATACCGAAAAGCCATAGACGTTGCTCTTGAGATGATGTTGATTAAAGCAGTAAATCCACTTTATTGGTTCGACTTTATATTTAGGTTCACTATTGATGGTAAAAGATCAAAACAAGCAGCTGAATACATCCGATCGTTTCCTACTTCATTGATAAATGTCAAGAAAACAACTAATCGAGTGAATATAATTGGCGAGCCAGTTTATAACCTAAAAGTTCGGTTCAGTTTACTTGATTGTCTAATTGATTTACATTTATTAAGTCAGTCAGGCAAGAGTAATTTCGAGTTTACTGTTATGGATGTTCTTGAAGAGACAAATAGTGCGCTCTTTGCAGGAAATGAGACTACTGCTGGTTCTATGGCATGGACTATGTTCAATCTTGCCGCTAATCCTGATATTCAGGATAAAGTTTATCAAGAATTAGTTGAGAATGGTTTCACTGCAAGGAATTTATTGATTATTTACTAGATGATACATGTTATCAAGATAATGGTGAAAATTATCGAGGAACTACATCACGAACAGCAACGATTCATACAGTTACTAGAAGATTGGATCAAGATCTGATCACAGACGAAGGTCAGGTTATTCCGAAAGGAAGTGTTCTCGTGTCGAAATCCTGGTGGAATGGAATCTCAACCTTGGTACATTCAAAAAATGATTGCTTGATTCTTTAGTTGCATTTGGATTATGCACTGAAGATTGATTGAATCCGGTTTCAATATTTTATCTTGTTCCTATCATAACATATTCACTATTCATTTCATGAGTACTTGAATTTCATTTATAACACTACTTTAACAACATTGTTTTAATATTTATCCATTTTTTATTTTATTTACAGTTGACAATTTTTGGGTTTACATTGTTGTTCCAAGTCTTGGTGCCCTAGTCCTGTTTATACTTTTATTAGCTTTATGTTGCCTTCGACGTAAACCTCGATCTAAATCTTCTGGTCCACAATTTAATTCTGGACGTCAAAGTGAATCTTCAATATCAAATTTACAATCAAGTCGAAATGGTGTTGGTGGATTCATTCTGGTATTAATTTAATGGGCTCAACTCTACCTCATCATCATAATCATAATCATAATCATCAACATCAACAGCGTCGTCAACACGAGCAACTTCACAATCAACATTAACTTTAGGATCTCGTTCAACATCAGGAGGAATCGGAGGAGATGGAAGAGAAGCAAGAAACATGTCTAATAATAATCAAAATCTTCACCATCATCTGATTCAATCACCAACATCGTCATCATCGCCGCATTCATCATCTTCATTATCTCAACATTACGGATTAACAACGAATGTGCGACAAAATAAAGATGCTGGGTCACCTTTACTTACACAATAAAAATTTATAGCAAAGCATTTAACATAGCATTGATTCAGAATCGATTGCTTTACATTTAATGGGAAGTAATTGATTAATGATTTTATTGTTTACTAACTGAATTATAATTCTTATTTAACAATTCATGACCGATTTTAATACATTGTAATGTCTCGTGGATAATTAACACAATTGCCATGACAATTTCATGCAACTACCTCGGAAACACTATCCAGTGTTACTAAAAATTGACAATTTGTTTTTTTTTGTTTCTTCGAATCAAGTGAGCAATTAAACGCAGCATGAGTAATTGCGATCTTTTTTAGTAAAAATCTGGATTGCGTAAAGCTAATTCAGGTTTATCATAACCAAGATCAGCTGGGCTACTGATACCGAGTTCTTCCATAACTGGTTTCAATTCCTGGAGCAAGTATGGGTAGATGTCTTTATCGTGGTTGTCTGCCTTCCATTTAACAGCTTCTAAGTATCGTACACATAGTGAATGGTCATTCACTCGTCGACAGGCTCTGAATGCTGCTTCAATAATCCTGGGTTCAGGTATAAGATCCATACCCATAAGTTCGTTTAATGCTTTTCGGATCTCCCATCCATCTATGTCAGGCCTAAAGATATAAATGTGAAAAATATACAGGTTAGCAAAAAAAAGAATGAAATTTTAAAGCAAAGGACAAAGTAAATACACATGTCTCACCTAGAAAAATATTGGTAATATCTATTATCAAATTCTTCATCTGTTTCATGGACATCATGAGGCGGCTTATAGATGACTGATGCACTTTCAGCAGGCTTTTGATTTGCCAAAAATCCTGAATAAAAAGATAAAATACAATTGTAATAACAATAAAAACAAACAGTTAATAAGGTTACCGATACAATTCATAAGGGCAATCTCAAGGACATGTTTACTTACTTGTCTGATGCAAAAGGGAAGAGACCCTTGGCCTGATTGGCTGACTTGCAATGGTCAATAGCTTCCTGAACATATTTATCTCCCCGTTGAATAGACCAACTCAATTAAAGCGAATTAAAATAGTCCAAAAACAAGTAAAAGGAATCAACTTAGGACAAGTCAAAATTGATAAATATTTCAAATTACTGTAAAAATTTTGATTACAGTGCCACCTATCGATAGAAACCAGTGGGACCGCGATTTTTTGATTTATTTAACCAAAGCATTGAATGAAGGGTAAAACCAAAGAGTAAGATTATTCTCATGAATTATGAATATGTTATTTGTTGATTATGTTATTTTAAATTAATTTAAATAGTAACTCAAACGGATTTAGCTTCATCAATCACATCACTTGATAGTGGTAGGGAACATTCCCTTCGTGCATTGGAGCCCTTATCAAATTACTCAAACCAATCGGATCAACTGTGCGACTTAAATTAATGTAATTTATATCGAAAGTAATCCTGCAAGATTAAGGTTTCTTGGTATGAGGATGAAGAACCCTTGGTGAATCAAGAGTGAAGCACCGTTCTATTCACTACTTTGTGGATTGCCAACCTGTAGATATGTTTTACATTACGAAGAAAAATGCAAGTAAGTTATAACCAAAAAAATACGCATTTATTTATAATTTTGTTTCATATCCAATCATTTTGATACTGATAAGATTTGAATGGGTCAATTTATAAGTAAAGATAAACTCAATTGAAATCAAAAACGACAATAAAACAATTTGACAATTTTAGCTGATTTCATTTCGTTTCAAATTTAAACGAATCACATATTAAATTTATAAATCTTGGGACTTTTAGGGTCAATATCGCTGACAAATAGACTCTTTTTATCTAATGATACAGTTATATCGTGTGGTTGACCAAATCCTGAAGCTGGTTTCCACGTATCTATAATTCTTTCTGTAGCCAAATCAAGAGTGACTCCTTCAGATTGAGATTCATCATCTGGGACGCTTAGAGCAAATAATACATCACCAACATGATCAACAGCAAAGACACGATTTAATCTCGGATGATTAACATTGAAAGTAAGAATTCCCGGCCTTGATCGATCATCAAGTCCTGCAGTATAACACAAAATACGACGATTTTCACGATCAGCCACACAAATCAAGTTCTCCTCTTCCAAAAGAACCAAACTATGTGGTATAAACAAGTTATCTGTATGAAAAGAATAAATTAGTTATTGGAATGTGAAATCGGAAATTTAAATAAAATTATAAGTGTGACGCTAAAACTGTGAAAAAATCCTCAGCTATTAATCCTCTAAAATGTTGTTACTAACCTTTAATTCCAATTTCATCAAGAACTGTTCCTGATGGAGATACGATTAAGATCCTTCGATTACAGTATCCATCGCTGATATAAACTAACCCAGATGAGGCTACAGCAACATCAGTGGGGAGACAAAAGTGATGGAAATCATGGCCTGGTTGAAAGGGTTGACCCAAAATCAAGTCTGGTTTATCGAGATCATCCTTTTTAAATCGAAACACTTGTTGCAAAGCAACATCTGTTAACCAAATATTTCCTTCTTTATCCAAACTAATACCATGGGGCAAGTAAAATCTGAAAAAAAATTCAAGATATCTTATGAATATCGAAGGGATCAATTTAATTATAAGCCATGTTATAATCACAAACTCATAACGGAAAGAATAAAATAGCACTAAAAAATAACTTACTTATTAGCTCCCCATGATTTGATAACTTTACCAGTCTTGGTATCAACAACAACTACAGTATCATTTGGAATTGGTCCATTGCCGATGTGTTTGTAATGTTCATTTAAATCAAATGTTCTGTTAATCACAAGTCAAAATAAACAAAGGAAAATGTGGTTTGTTTATAAGTGCACATTAATAACAATTATGGTCACTAGATGATGCACTAAGTGATTCAAGTGATTTATAGTTAAAGAGTATTACTCTTTGTTAATAGCTGCAATGTTTATCCATTAAATTAGTTTGGTTTATAGTTACCTGTGATCCCAAATATGATTACCTCGGTGGAAAATATAAAGTGTATCATTTTTATGAGAAGAAATTCCGGCAACTTGACCCAGATTATTAAGGAAATCATGCTTAAGCCAATCAGAATCTTCAGTTAACCTCGGAAATTCAGGTTCCCAAGCAGAGTTATCATCTCTTAAGTTACCAATTTCCTACCAATAAAAGAGTTAATACATGAAAAAGGAATCACAATAATTTTTGGCAATACTTCCAGAACAAATCAGTATCCATTTCTAACTAGGATAGATTAAATTATTCAAATAAAGAGACTGTGGATAAACTTACCTGTAACGATTTTTGGGACAAAATGCCTGCTTCATAGCCTCCAATGAGATCCTCATTATCAACAAGATCTTGAAGGTTCTGGTTGTACCCATAATAAGCTCCTTCACTTGGTTTGATTAAATTAGCAATTAAACAGCTAAATAACAGTAGTGAGATCAATATGTTACCACTTTGATTGACCATATCAGTTTGATTTGTTTCTGGTAACTCTAATTGTAGCTATAGTTGATTACTACGAAGCTATATTTGTGAATTTTAATGAAGCTTTTACCAAAATACACTAACAACGAGTATATTATGAGTACGAGTAAACATTTATTTGTATTATCTGATGATTATGTTGATATTTAACTTGTTCACACAACAAATTAAAATTATTATCAAAGTGAAATCACATTGGATATTCTGTGAAACGATTCAATATGTTTTAATATGATAGTCAAAAGATGAATTTGTGTAGGAAGATAAATTCAACCAAAGGGTATTTGGTATCTATCCTGGTAACCATGTATTTTATTGATCTGAACATTTTCATCATTGAACTTGCGCTAAGTAAAATTGAATATATGAATAGTTGCTTCTGAATTCAGTTGAGATTTGAGAGATTTAAGGTTAACTGGTCATTGATTCGATTCTCAAATTCAATCAAAATTTGATTACTACAATATCTATAACGTCAGTTAAATGAAGTGAAAATATGTTCAAAAGTAAATGAATGCAAAAGATGATTTGTAAATTGTTGGTAAAACAGAAAATTGTCTTTATTTTCATTTGGTTCTTTTTTATATATCACAATTGATACAAATGGAAATGGAAAAATGATTGATGATATTACATAAAGTAAATATATTTATATATGTATCTTGTTTGATTGGCAAAAATACAAGTTGTACTTTTAATTTACCAAATAAAGCATTTGGTAATCAACTTAGAATTGACTAGATATTTCGACGTTTGATTGGATTCGTTTTAGTTGACTATTGTGTATGGTTAAAACAGATGTTTGATTGTCTTCCGAGGAAACTTTAAATTTTGGGTCAACATTTGAAAGATCATGGTTGTCCCTTGAAATATGGCAATCATGGTCATTTTGATTGTTGACTGGTTTAATTTCATCAATTGTTGCTCTTCTAGGAAAATATTTGCCTTTGTTTTCATTCAACAATTGATTTCGTAAATTTTCCCGCAAACTATCAATCGATGAAGATTGCAATGAACGCTCGATTCCAGCTAAAATGTCAGGCTGTGTTGACTGTCGACCATTAAGCATTGATTCCGAGTGTTGGTCAACTGATTTTGATTTGATCATAAGTTTTGGATTAGATTGTCGACTAGAATAGTTAATAACAGCAGTTGCTTTGTCATCTTCAGACTCGAGTAGATTAGTTGAGGGTAGATTTGAAATTAAATTAGCTGTGGCATTATTAGCAGCTGTGTTAATAATGGAAACATCAGAGGTATTTGATGTTGGTAATACTGTTGGGGAATCCATCAACTTGGGTACAAATGATAATCTACTTGTTCGGCCATTGATCAAGTTGCTCCGAAAATGAATTGGCGTGAAAATGGGTTCAGTTGGTTGTAATGAGTAGGACAGTTTGTCATTTGAATCCAATGGACTAATATCTTTGAATTTGTTGACATTCGTGTTGTCTTGGTGGACATGAATCTCTTTGGACGGTATCTGGTAATGAGGAATGTTTTCAATTGAATTTACATTTGAATTGTGCGTTGATTGTTCGCTATTAGATTCAATACTATTTTTGGCATTGTTTAAAGCTAATTGATTGTACGGTAATCCATTGGCTGGAAGTATATTTGTCCTCAGTGATTCCCAAAATCTCCTTTCAGGACTACCAAGGTAGACTTCACCGTGTGATTCCTCAAATGAACGATGACTATTTAACCATGAATTTCTCAACATTGATGATCTTTGATTGTGTATTGATTTGATGTATAAATCTGTGTTTATATTGTTACAATTGTCATCCAGTGACTCTACTTTTGGCTCTTTTAACAGTGAACCATTTTGTTTGTTTAATTGATTTTGTTGCAGATTCCAGGCTGCTGAAGCAGAGGTTAACCTTTCAAATAACGATGAACCATTCATCTGATAACTTCCAGTCAACAAGTTCTGGTTAACATGGCTTTTGGTTGAGACAATGGTTGTTTCACTGGTAGCATTGGATTTGGTAGATTTGGAGTCAGAACTACTTGAATTTAAAACTGGTGTTGAACCATTTACTGTCACTTTTTGGGTTTTCTCATCATTTTGCTCATGACAACACCAACGGAACCATCGTGTAAATTGAATTGATCCGGAAGATAGGTTGAGTTTAGTCAAAGAAGATGAAATCAATGATGTTTTGTTTTCCAACTCCAGGTCTTTGGTTTGACGACGAGAAACAATAAACTCATAAGTTGAAAGGCCAATACAATCTAATATAAGAAGGAAAACAAAATACAAAAAAGAAACATTAGCTGAAAATCGATCAAGGAAAAGAAATATAGAGAAGAAACACAATCACACGAATAACAACAACAATAGCAATCTTGATAATGCGCAATTAAATTAACAAAACCGTTAATTCAATCACTTGAAAACAGAAAAGGTTGCACTTATTAATATACACTGTACACTGTACACAATCTATTTGATATACAGAATGGACTAAATTTTGTGTCAAAACTGTGGCTAAACTGAAAAAATTGCACAGAAAAATGTCACTACAGACGCACCAAATCTCAACTCTTAATTTGCCGGCTAACCGTTAATTAGCTCATTTTCAGGGTTTTAATTGAACTTTTTTCGAAATTTTTAACGGTAATGATTGCTCTTTCCTCTTATTGTATTTAAACTAAACACAAACAAATCGCATCAAGGAATGAAAACTGCTATTAACAGAATGTATCAAAGATAAATTGAAACCTCCAATCCAAAAGTAAATTCAAAGTTGAATCAAAAACATAAAAATGGGTTTTATATTACAAAATATTAAATTTACCATAAGTAAACAATGTATGCTGGAAAATTTCCATTATCGGAGAATTGAGTAGAATGAAAACAGCTAATAGATTATATCCTGAACCACTCACAAATTGGAAATATAAACCAAACTAACAAATAATCTTTTTTCAATCAACAAAACCATTCTAAACAATAAAAGTAATTTTTGAATCTTTATTTCAATATCACTTCTCACTGTCTACATCTAGTGGTTGATTGTTGAGTTCAACTTTAATCAAAGGCCAATAGTCAGATCGGCCTTTGATACAGATGTGATGAACCTTATATCAATCGAAAGACCATAATGATTTGAGTATGAATTGCTAAAAATCAGATCAAAATTCTCATTCCATGGAGAGTTATTAGATAATTCCCGAGATACCTGAGGATCCCATCAAGTTCAACTTTTACATAAAACTGATTCCGATAGTTACTGTGCAAAGTCGAGATGTTACTTTTGAAAGTTTAGTTTTGTAAAAAAATATATTCATATGGTCTGTAAACTTTGTTGACCAACTCATGTTTCATTACAATGATAGACAGGTTACTTGTTTAAGACAGCTTAAAGATCGTTTTCCCTGTTACCGAATCTATCCAATAACTAATCTAAAAAAACTTTGATATTCAAGTAATACAATGTGAACTGTGTTCAGAATTTCATGGAACAGTCTACAAGACTTTATATTATTTTCTTAAAGCCTTGTAGACTGTTTCATGAAATGTATCTACATTAATTTTCCTTCTTGAAATACTTTTTTATCCTTTCTTGTCCATTTTATAGAGTGTATTCTATTATTATGTGACAAGTAAATGGACGATTTTGGACCAATATGTACTTGACGTTTCCCTCAATTGACCAGTTTAACCTGACATTTGATTTCATGTTTTCTCAGTCTAACCACTTAACCTGTGGAAAATTTATATCAAATATTATATTAATTTATTGATATTATTATCATGTTACATGTGATTTTATTTCAAAATAAATATGGATATTGACCAATGTCAATAAACTTATTCTCAATCCTAGCCATTAACAAAGAAAGGTCCAGACAATTTCATCAGGCCTGTTATTATCATGAAACATTTCAGCCTTCCATCAACTTAAACAACTGTCTTAAAGCCAACAACAGAAAGCAGCTCAATTAAACCATGATTTGTTACAGAAACCAGTTAATTAAAGCAACAATAATTTACGATTAAAAGAGATACCAATTTCAGGATTCTCATAATACCATCTCTAATACAATCAACTGTAATTTTCCAATTTAAGTGATGTGTTAATCTTGAGCTCAACTAATCATTAAGACTGGATCAGTTGATCATAATTACCATGATATACAACCTCAAGATTATCGTAAGAAAGTAAATTGGATACGAATGTAAACATTGTCTTTTGATCACAATTGATATCAAGAACGATTAACCTTTACAAAAAGCAATCTGTTTTACATTATAATGTAATTGAGTAGATTAATGTCAAATAATCATGTTGACCATCATGATATAATTTATTACGAAGCCAATTGATTAACATTTACACTTAAATGGTTTAAACGTTTCCAATGTTTACTTTGATTGGGTTTCATTATGATCAAGATAAATATTGATGAACATTCATTTGTTTGGTTAGCTGGTTATTCAATAATTTCAATCTAATTGCCAACTAATCATGTATAAAGATGAGTTTAAGCTGCCTTTTGCGTGCCAATAAAAGGACATTTTAATTGTAACATCTCAATGTTTACAATTTGAATCAATTTGTATGGTCTTATGGTCAACCAGATTAATGGGCAAAAAACAAGTTTACTTGATTATTTATTCATTTCATGATTAACTATAAATTGCTACTTCAATCAAATCCAGTAAAATGGTCAAACTTGGTGGAAAGAAATGTTTCAAATGTAATATAAAGAGACAAAAATGGTTGAATAACATTGATTTCAATTGAACAAATTTGCTTTTCAATCAATTTATCAATTTCAAGTTAATCAAATTTGACGAAATTTTAAACTGTAATTCAATTGAATGTGATTGTAAAGCAAACAAAAAATGTGTTCAAATCGATAATACAAATGATATTCTTACATGTAGCAAAGGTTCAACAATAGTTAGCTGACCTTTGCTTGTTCACCCAAATCTCACGAGGATTTACATGGTAACCAGTAAGAATAAATCATGAATCATGTTACACTTTTACTCATCTATCAACCATTGAATCTTTAAATTATTCAATTTACTTGTTCGGTAAATAAACAACATGAAAATGCTTTACAACTTTCAATATTAACCAATCTTAAATTGAAAATAGCATTTCCATTTTTAAACAAACAGCAAAAAATGTTTTCAACTGATCTGTAAATCTTGACCAAAAACTGACACAAATCATGGCCAAACAAATGTCAGACTCTGAGACCATTGTAAATGGTCAACGGATTGAGCTTGTAATTAAGTCAAGGTTCAGAGACTGTCGAGCATTTAGTGAAAGTTGATTTCTGTAAATCAGTGATTACAGTTAAAGTGAACATGTATTTATATGCAAATGTTAATGGTTATCTTGGTTGAACGATTCTTGCCTTGGTAAACAAAAATGGTAATGAAAGGATAAAATGATGATGATGGTAGAGTAAAATGCAGATGAAATGTTTTCCCATTTTGTGCACAATTAAAAGGTTTAATCAGAGTTAATTGATTAAATTAGAGAAAATGAAAAACTGTAATTCCAATTGTTGGACAACAATTGAAACATCCGATTGATTGGTAAATGTTAAACATGGTCACTGTCGTTGCATTACAACAGATGAAACCCATTGTTATTGGGAATGAAGGAAGCGACTTTGTTCAATCTTTTAATATACAAAAAAAGATACAATAGAGACAAGATTCAATTTTTCCCTGATTATCCTTGTGTTCATTTATCTGATTGTAATAGTTTTGCTTTACAATACAATCTACAAATCAAATCACATTTTATAATTCAATGAATAGACCAAGAAAAAGGATTTATCATTATACAAACTTGCGTCTTTGTAAACCAACCAAATGTACATTGTAAGTTGAATCACTTTTTTCATCTTTTCATTGTTATCATTTGTAAATTATTTTTTATCATTATTTTTGCCTTTCTAAATATAAACTGATTACCTAAGCTTTCATTGTAACGATGCTGATGATGGCCATGATGCACATGGGAAAGGATAAGTTGAAGATACAGAAGAAGAATGAACATGAAGAGAGGAAAAAATGATATACAATGTAATATTGATTTTCATCGTTTTTCTCTTCATTCCTTGTTTCCAATTTTTAAATGATTTTACTATCAATTCAGCTGAATCAGTTGAAAATCAGACTGATTTGATTTGCTAAATATTCAGGGGAAAATGGGTTGAGAAGGAAAAACAGAAGGTTATTCCTTTCCCTCATCACCGTTGAGCATTCAGAAAAACAGATGAAACTGAATCGCTCATTTCTCCCTGGTAACTGACATGAGTAGGAATTTGCTTTTCGTCTCAAAATAACTTCTATTATTTCTAATAATAATGCATTACTTTCAGGCATGTTTTACTGTGATAAACAATTTTACCTTAGTTAATCTTGAACCATTAAAGGTATATTACAATTGAACCAAAATTGGTTTATTTGTAACCCAAAGTTGCTTTTTGGGTTCATTTTTTCTTGCTTATTAAAGCTCAAAATTTTAACGTTTTTATTAAACAAATCAGATGCAATGTAAAGACTTGATGTAATTAATTGATTTACTAATGACAAACTGTTGATCAATGCATTCTAATGATGAGATCAGTTTTGGTTTAATTACTTTAATCTTGTGATTATCTGTTGACTTTTGGCTTTGATAACTTTGTTAAACTGTTGCAATTTGCTCGCTCAATTTGATGAAATGACGACTTTAACGAACAATTAATTAGCAATTTAACTGGTAAAATTGGAAACTCATTAAAGATTAACACAATTAAGCTGCCATTAAATCATCAAATTGTTTCCTTTTATCATTATTTAAGCTTCTTTAACAGCGCATTTGAAACCCATTTACACTTGTTTAGTATTTATAATGATGGAAACTTCAACCAACCATTTACATAAAGATTAATGATAAAGATTAATATTGAAAAACTAATCAATAACAATTTAAATTGTACTTTGATGAAAGTCTCAATATAATTGGAATGATAATGTTGATGGAAAAAATGGCGAGCAAAATGTCGAATAAATATTGGAAAATTAAGACAAAATAAAGATTAATGATAATCTCGATTAAGTTGCAGTTGATGATCAATTTGTTAGTAAAAACGAAATCTTGAACATTAGAATCAAAAACTCATCGAGAAAGATTGTAAATGAAAGATTGCAAGAAAAAAATACTGAGTTACTGAAACGGTAAATGATAGATTGTAATTGAATGAGAAAAAAAAGATAAGCCTTAATCCCAATTGTGTTGTATTATTATCACTTCTATCAGTGTTACCTTCATGAGTATGAATGCGAAATTCATGAGAAAAAAGTACTTACTGAGAAAAATGTGGAAGCAAAGAAGATGGAGAAGCAAAATGCCTGTTATTAATGATAAAATACATGTCAATATGATAATAGATATCCATATTGATGGATAACTCGATGATGGATTGGTTATGTAGGCACGAAGAAGACCATTTGTGATGAAATCGTTTTCCCAGATCGCATCGTCTGTAATGAGAATGAGCGTTGATTAGTATTTTTGATGTTGATTGGAAATGGGAAAAGTTGAGCCTCGAGACTGGGAGTGAGGCTGGGAGGTTGGCAATGGGTTTAGTCAAATGTTGACTGGAAATGTTGGACTCTTTCAGGTTGTTTTGCTTGTATGCTTGAGATGACTTTTTGTTGTCTCTTATTGTTTCACTTTTTGTTGAACCTCTTCTTTTGTATCCATTATTATTAATAAAAAGGTTGTCTTTTGCTGTTGCTATTGTAACTAATATGGGAAAGTTGATTGTTCAAGTTATGCTTTTGTAATTAGTTAATTAACCGTTGATAATGTTCATCAGTTTACAAAGAAAACACCAGAATCGAGGAATTGGCTAAAGGTGATTATTAGATTAATTTGCTGATTGCATTGCAAGCTTTTTCTTCCTCTTTTTTTACCGTGTTTGCTTTATTAATTGAGTTGCTTGTCTTCACTCATTTTAATATTTATGATCTTTTGAGCAACATTTTTTTTCTTGCTGATTTTGTCGTTAATAAATGATTTATTTCATGATTCAATGTTCAGGGTTGAGTAATGAAATAATCGGCAAATAATTTTGAGGCTAAATTTTCATGACAAATTCTGTGCTTTGCTTGGCTTCATAATTGAATTAGAAAATTGGTGAAATTTCTTGTCAATTCATTAAGTCACATTCAATGGAATCTCATGAAAAGTAATGCAATTGGATAAAAAGAAATGAATTTTTCCTCTTTTCATGAAATCAAGGTGAGAAACTATCCAATTATGGAAATATTGTTCTTCCAAGTTTAGAATTATTTTTCAAATTCTTTCGACTTTTCATATTAAACCTTTTGGAATTCAAAAAGGTGAGATTGAAATTGGAAAACTTTGATTTAATAAAATCAAAATTAGACTTTCTATTTATCGTTAAATCATGAGAAATGTTATAAAACTATTTTCAATGTCAATACCAAGTAATGAATGTTTTTGTTTCTTCAACGAATCAATGTTCGAATGAAACATTTTTTCATTTCTATTTTAATAAGCTTATTTAATTGATTATATTGACCTTTTTTCAGTTTATTAATCATAAGACGAGTCTAATATGAAATGATTAGGAAACTTGGATAAGCTGAACCAGTGAAACGTTTGTGAAACGTGACAAGATCAGATGATAACCTTTCATTTCAGGTAATAAAAGCCTGGGAAAAATGAAAGATAATACTTTTTTCCTTTTTCATGCCAATTCCAAGTCTTATTGGAGATAAAAAAGTGAATGAAAAAAAGCAGAAAATTGCAAGATAAACAAACCCAATTGTAATCTATCCAAGTTTCAGACAAGTTGAGACAAGTTGAGGAAAACATTAAAATGAAAAGCAATCATTTAAGCAACATTTTACCTTGAAAATTGTTTCATATTCATGGCAATACATTCAACTCTCATCGATATGCAGATCAAAAACAGACGCAACGTGATTCAAGCTCAATTGGCGATTAGAAGATTAATTTATAACATTTACATGAGCCAAAAACTGAAACTGAAAGCTAAATCATTGTAATCATTGTCAGTCAGAAATGGATTTGAAAAAAGCTCAAATTGAATATCAAATGCATTTAATGTTTATCAATAAGTCAGAAAATCTCACAACTGTCTAACATTTTTTGATGAAATTGAAACAAAAAAAAGAAGAAGAGAAAAATGTATAAATTGTTTCTTCATGATAATAACCTCATGAGGATAAACATTAGATCTACCTTGAAATTGAATGAATAACTAGAGTAAGGAAATAATGGAAAGTTGAATGTTAGTCGAAAGATAATGAAGAGCAAATAAGAGTGCAAAATGAGTATTGAGAAGTGAAGAATAGGGTAAAATGTTGAGGAAACGAAAGCAAACATTTCAAAATTGGTTCATGAAAATTGAATGTTGGAAGATGAACTCATTTTAAATATCAAAATTGTTATCACATTTAAATCAAACCAAACATTAAAACATTTTTTCACTTTTCCTGCTTAAAAGGCTGATGATAGGGTAAAGGAAAAGGGAAAATGATGGAAAGCATTCATGATAAATGCAAGAGATGAACATGATGATTAAGATGATTGGAGTAAAAATAAAAGGTAAGAAAACGATTTGACACTTTTACAGCAAACTAAATGAAATTGAATTCGAACTTTTCTTTTGCAGAGAGAAAAAAAAGTTTTTCTCTTCGTTTTCATTTCTTCCTAATAATACAAGATAAACGGTTAAAATAGAGACTGAAAATTGTATTGATTTGAAACAAGAACTTTTCAACTGAACAGTAAAAAGAGAAAATTTGAGCGAAGAAAAAGAGGAAATTTGACTTCTTTTTTTGGCTGCTTCCCTTTTCGAAAAGAAAAACAAAGTTCAATCGATAAATCAAGATGAATCGAGGAATTGATTAAGATGAACAAGGAAAAAGTTTTTGCCTCTTTTTTCACTTCGTAAAACAAATAAAGTTACATTTTACTTTACCTTGTAAAATGATAATGTCAAGATGATTTAGATTATCTGTTAACATCTTATCAACATGTTTTTGGTGTGTGTTCAACCCGAAAATGTTTCTTGTTTTGTCAAACATTTTTCAATCAACAATGAAAATCTTTTCACTTTTCATCTTTACGTGAATAATTCATTGAAATTTTGCCCATTTCCAGATATACTTTTATCCAATTGATTCATTGTTTTGACAATTGCCAATGGTTATCATCAATCGTTCATATTGATGGATGAAAGAGAATCACTTTTTTCATTAAACTTTCCATTCATTTTTGTTTCGTGTTTTCCAGGTTTTCAGTCTCATTCATGGCAAAAGGTGAATTCAATAAATGTATTAATAACTTTTGCTTTTAAACCTGTTTCTGTGTTTCAACAATTATTGATTGATAACAAGTAATTCATCTTTTGACCACAATTTTGGGTTAATTTTCATTGTCCATTTTCACCTTTTATCCATTAACTTTTCACTCTTTCCCTGTAACCGAACATAATCAATTATCTCGATTCGAGTTTAACTTTTTTTTCTCTTTTTTCCAATTCGATTAACAAAAACTGGACATTTCCTTCATTAGGTTGGTTAACCATGTACATTGACCAGTAAAGAGATTTGCTTTGTTTTCTTCTTTTCTCATGTTTCGACTTTTCTGGTTATTATAACACTGAACGTCTCATAAGTTTAATATTGATAATGTTTCCTTGTTTGTTTTTAACGTCTTTTGCTTTTCCTGTTCAAACCAATATTGGTTGGAATTGCTGTAAATCTAATCAATCTGAGAATCAATGAATACAATCAATTGGTCGGGAATAGGTTCAACTTATTTATGGATAAAGGATATAAGATGAAATTGTGAGAAATTGATGTTTTCAAGTTTCCTGTAACTCATACATTTCAAGTGTTGGATATCAATAAAGGTTAAATGTTATCGGTTTTCACTGCAAATATTAGATGAAAGGTTAAATATTGAGTTGGAAATATAATTATCAAAGTAAACATGAGTTGTAAAAGATGTTGAGCTGGAAATTTAATGTCGATTCTTTGATCAATCTTTTCTCATCAATCAATGGGAAAGGCGAGAATTAAAAGTGTTATGGTCAACTGTTATTGGCTCAATGAGAAAAGTCTATGTAAATTGAAAGTGAGAAAAGTCAAGTTTATGGTGAAATAATGATGAAAGTTGCAATCGATGAAGTTTTATCCCTGATAATGGTCCAGCTAAATAGGCAGAGAAAAAGTGTCAACAAATTGATGCCCATTGAACATGAACAATGTGAGAACAAGAGAAACTTTCCTTTGTCCAGCTTTTCCCTTTTCCTTATTTTTTTGTCAACCATACACACTCTTGGATCTAAAGACAAGATTGGGTCAAGTCTGGTTTACAGCAAGATTAAATTCAAGACCATTTACAATCAAGAAAACTGGATCAAGTGAAGGCTATCAAGAGGCCAAAATATAAACCCAAAGTAAGCAGATTTTATAGACTTTTGTTGAGCCATTGGTCAACAGGGAAGAAACGAAAGAAAAAATTGATTCCATTTGTGATGTTTGAAACAATTTCTCGTTGATTAACTTATTAACCAACTTGGAAATCAATTTAGACTATCAACTATTAACAATATCAAGCAATTGTAAATCACTGGAATCGAGTTTGAGCTTTTTTTCAATCAAAAAGGTTTTTCCTCTTTTCATAATTCCATTTGTTCAATTGGAAAAGCTTTTAATTTTAAAATTGAATTTTCTGGTTTTCTGTGTTTTTGGGTTACACTGGTTTTGATGAAAGTGTACAAAGTCAATGGTTGACCTTTTGGTAAAAGAAAAATGAAATGGATAATTTCATCATCTTTTAATCAAAATCGGTACAAAATTAATTAACCAACAATTGTAGCCCTTTATTGAAAAGTGAAGCTCATGAACCTTTCAAAGAGGAAATTGTTTCATTTAGCTTTTTCCTCGTTTGAAAACATTCACTAAAAAATTGTGATTGAATGAGTGATGAATTGTCGATACAAGTCTTTGGCCTGAATGATTGATTCCTGTCTGGATGAAAGTCACAGTGAAAAATCAATAAAATCCATTGAACTGACCGCCCAACAATGAATTTAATTTTCCCATTGATTCACCTTTTCTTTCAGAGTTTTCTCTCTCTCTTTACTGACTGCTTCTTTACCTTGATTAAAACTTTACATTAACAGATTTTAGTAGTTTAAGCAAAATCCATAGTAACCAGGCTGGGAGTGAAAATATTGTTTTGAATGATAAACTTAAATAATAACGAGGTCTGCTAATGAAGTCTGTAAAAGCATATATTTAATACAGGAAATAATCAAATTTATTGAATCTCTCCATAGATTCATTTTTGCTAACATAAATTGTTATCAAGTGTTGTTTCAAGCGAGTTAATTCATGAAAATTGTTGGGTGAAAAAAGTTTCTTTCAATTTCAATCTTTTGTCTATTAAATGATACAAAAGGTACTTTTTGAGG